TGTGTGTGTGTGTGTGTGTGTGTGTGTGTGTGTGTGTGTGTGTGTGGGAGAGAGAGAGAGAGAGAGAGAGAGAGAGAGAAAGAGAGAGAGAGAATCTGCACTCCAGGATCAGTTATAAATTTTAACAGAATTATCCACAATTTTGGATTTTTCACTTCTTTGGTTAGTAAAGATAATCAAGAGTTTAGTACAGTGCTAAAGGGTAGACGTGGATAATAGAAGGAAAGAGACAATAAAGAGAATGAATATGTCCTTCTTTTGATAGACCTTAGCCTCAAAACCCTGTAGGATTTACAATTTAGAGCCACTAACTAACCAGCTCATTAGAGAATGACCTGTCAGCACTGTCAACATTTTCTTTAATGAGGTAACACTGTGATATTGGCACCTGGGGAATTGTTTGCCTGTAGTGAGCTGGCACAAAGTACTCTCCAGTTTGGGGCCCTCACAGCAGCTTATGCCAGGATTCTGTCCACACTTGCAGCTGGGAGCATTGTGGACCCCGTGGATCACGTCCACAGAGCCATGGGTGAAGTTATTGCCCAACTTGCATGATCCATTAGCTTCTGAAAGTTTTCTCCAGACCGTCATGTCATTGCAACACTCTTTGTCATTACCTGGACTGTTTCCCTTGGGGATGCTATAATGCAACCTTCTGAATGTCAAAAATGAGGAGGACTTATCCTTGGACATGCTGAGGCTGGTATTTTTATCTAACAGGGTCAAGTTCATTAATACCTCAATATTCCATTGTTCTTGGCCATTTTTTGCCATGCCATATTGTATCACTTCCTCTGCAATTTCTTCTTTCGTTATCTTCATTATGCTTTCTGAAGCTCCTGCAAGAACCAGCCCCACACTGAGCAGCAGCAGAGAGAAGATCTCCATCTCAGATCTCGTGTAATTTCTTCTGCAGTAAAGATAAAAAGCAAAAGATAAAAACTAGGAAAATACTAAGGAGATAGTCGTCTTTTCCTTAGGGCAGTTATTCCCAGGAGCACTCCTACCTGTGATTTAAGACTTCTACATCTGTTAATGGAAGTATGATATAGTGAAAATACAATTAGCTGCAGAGTCTGAAGACCCAGGTTCAAATCCCTGCTTCTCCTATTACAAACAACTTATTCTACCTCATCTAGCCTCAGTTTCCCCATCTGAAAAAAAAGAAAATGTGAGAATTATGTAAGATGATATGTTTAAAGTGCTAGAAACAAGTATTCTTTCTCTTCCTTTTCCCTTTATCTATAATCTCATTGGTGGGATCCACATCTCCATGGTGGGTCACCATAATCTCATCAACACATTGCTCACTATTACTATATCTCCTACAGCCTCACACAGTACCTGACACTTGGTAGCCAGTTGAAAATACATGCACACACACACACACACACACACACACACAGTGTCGCTTCTCCATCTCTCCTTTCTTTTCTCATCCATTCTCAGTCATGGGATTTCTGCCTTTACCAGTTCCTTTGGCAAGTTGATCCTGTAGAGAGAGATTCTAGCTTGCTGCAGGGCTAGAAGTGAAACTGGGCTTGTTTCCTAGGAGTTTCTGTTATTGGGTCTAACTGAGGGAAGGAGGAGCAAGGAAGGGGTAGACAGAACTGTATGAGATTGACAGAGGAGACAGTGTGGAGCCAAGGACACGCGGGGACACTGAACAGTGTCCACTCAGCAGTGAGAATCCCAGGGACCCAGGCAGCTCTGCCGCTTTCTCTTCTGTGAAATCTTCCCTGTGTATTTATACTTTAACCCAGAGTATTTTTTTTCCTTTTCTGAAACCCTACAGCACAAATTATGTTGTACTTCATTTTATATGGTCTTTTTCATTTTTCAAGTTAGTGGAAACATGTTAATTTTCCCCCTCTTATTAAGGCTGAAAACTCCTTGGGCCTGGAACACAGGCTCTGATTCCATTTATTCTGTTCAGCAGCAAACACTGAACTGTACCAACACTAGTTTCTCAACAATATTTGTTAACAATATAATATGGCTTGACTAGTACAGAAAATTCTTTACTTGATGCTGGAAAACTCATAATGAGAATCCCAAAAAGAATGGTTATTTCAACCATAAATCACCTAAAATGATCCTACTATCACCTCTTCCTTCTCTCCCACCTCTAAAAGCCTTCTCATACACAGATGTCTCCACTACTGCCTTCCGAATCACCACTCCTTGCCCCTCTGATTCCTTCTCTACGCTACTTTTCTAAAACACCACTTGCAATGACACTACCTCAGAATCCTTGAAATATTCCTCGTTGTCTTCAGGAGGAAGTCTAATCCCCTGAGCCCACTTGCCAAGACCCTACTTGATCTGATCCCAATAAGCCTCTCGAGGTTTAACTCTCGTTATTTTGCTGCACAAACCTGCGCTGGTCAGTCAGTGTGAGCCTCTTCTCTCTCAATCCACCCTGAGCTGTCTCTCCCTGTTTGCTCCTTTCTTGAATGGCAGCGCTTTCCTGCCTTTTGAAATCCTTTAAAGCCTGATTCAGATCCCATTCTTTCTTCAACACATTATCTTACCGCTTCATTCTACCAAATCCATTTCTCATTTCTCTGAACTTCTTATAACATT